TTCAGTGATGAAATCTCTGCAGATAAACAATTAATATATAAATTAGTTCACCACATCACGACAGAAGTGTTGCAGACAAGACAACTCGCCCTTCTCCGTCATTCTTGTTCTGTTATTAAAGGTTTTATTGGATTAAATGCATGTTTCACTTGTTCAAGACGCTGCATTGATTAAATATACAGTATATCTGACATTAAATGCCCGCACTCTGTGTCTTAAGCAGCTATTTGTAACATGAATGAAATATTCACACAACAGTCAAATGCAAAAACTGCACAAGAGTTAGACATTATATTTTCTAAATTAAAGTCATCTATTCTCATTTAATCAGTTCATGCAGTATAACATCTCTTAACGTTATTTTTGTGCAACATTGCTTACTGTATTTCTTACTGTAATTTCTTATGAGCAAAAAAGATTTAAAAGTTTAGTCGCTAAATCTTGCAGACATCGATCTGATCAAAATGGCTCCGGTCTAATCAAATAGCGTCAGTATTGTGCAATCTCACCACTGATCTATTATATATATCCTCTATGGATATTCTTGTTATATATATATATATATATATATATATATGTCACATTAAAATACCAAGAACATGAATGAAAACTTGCAGCTTGTTCAGTTAAACTGACGAATAAGATTATCAGTGGCAGGCCCTTATTGAAATGATCAGGTTTTCGAACAGTCGTCAGGAAAAGAGCAGCTAAACCGTTCCATCTCTGATGAGACATTTTACAATAAATGTGCAGAAAGAACGAATGAAAAGACTGTTTCTTAGCTAACGTTAGACTCCGGTTCCTCCAGAAGTTCACACAAAACAAACACTGATTTAGACTAAATGGCTACATGTTGATAAATTTTAAACGTTCAATTGATGCTTTATTTTCCACCTAATAAGATTAACTGATCAAATAGTGAATGTTGACTCAACATTGAAGCTGCTAGGATTAGGTTACGACCAGCGGCGGGCCGTGCATTTCACACCTAGGCCTTCAGTGAGGTCCTACATTAATTAATCCACCTCTTAATACCATCAGAATGATGCCACGGCTATAGAAACCTTAATATTACACAGAAATGCAGTATAACAGGGCATTGCATCACAGACAGCTGTAACAGTGTAGCGAGAATGAACGCTATTACTAAAACTAGGAACCCAATTAACACAATTCAGCAAGTTGCCACACCTGCGCACCGCACATCATCTCTAGCTGAAGCATTAACCTAACAAACTGACACAAATATAGTCCACGCGATGTTCTTACAGACATTTATTAACTCAAATAAGATTGGTATAAAACAAATAAGGTGATTAGATGTGTTTTAACATACCCCTAGGATAAAAGCATCTGCTAAATGAATAAATGTAAATGTAGTATTTAGATTTATAGAAGTTGAATATTTTTCAGAATGCACTGAAAATCTACTGTAAAGCACTGTACGCAACATATACCGTAAGAAACCTGAGAAACAGTAATAATACTATGAAAACAAAAATGATTTACAGTGATGCTGTTTGCTAGCTTTGACCAGTGCGCTCTGACCATCCAATCAAAGGACGAGAAAATGCTGACGCTATCGTGAGCCTGCTGGATGGACCTGGTGCTGCCAACTCGAGATCTGATTGGTTAAAGCAACGTTTCATTGCCATTGATTTTAAGCCACAGACGCCTGCACTGTTGATTCTGGAGGCCTTGGCAACACGATTGCTGAAATATGATTGGTTAAAAGCTCTAATTAAAGCATACACTGTTAACATGGCCTGGACCTGTTGCCAACTGCTTTCAATTGAAAGTAGCTAAAACTGGTCGCGTCACTAGATGACATCATAATGGCTAATTCACTGATCTATATAAAGATGAATATAAATCAGTGGGCAAGATGAGAACTTAAGGTTTGTCCAAGAAGTTGCTATATTTGTGCCAAAACTTTAAAAAATGTCTCAAAAGGAGTGGGGAAGTCGCTAAATCTAGCTACAAAATAACAACACATAAATCTCTGTTTCCAAGCGCAGCACTTACCGCCGCGGGCAGCCATCTTGCTGGATCCTGTTAAGAAACCAGAGCAACTGCAGAATGAGCTTTTATACCTGTGCTGCGGTGCATCATGGGAAATGGGAGAACCCAAGTGTGGGGGAGTCACACACAGCCATAACTGTTTCTGTGATTTCTGAAACATACTCTTCAATGTTATGACATTAACCAGGCAGTAACCAGAAACTAAATTAACCAAATAACAGCCATCTATAAAAAATTTCTGCATTGTAGAGCTGTTTAATAATAATAATAATAATAAACTACCTCCCACACTTGGGTTCTCCCATTTCCCATGATGCACCGCAGCACAGGTATAAAAGCTCATTCTGCAGTTGTTCTGGTTTCTTAACAGGATCCAGCAAGATGGCTGCCAGCGGAGGTAAGTGCTGCACTTGGAAACAGAGCTCCTGGATTTATGTGTTGAGTGTCCGAGTCATAATAAAACGTTAAAAGATGGTAAAACAATATGCCTGTTGAACAGCTAACAATTTTTAGTTCCCAGAACGTTTATGGTTTGTTTTTGGTTAGCCAGGAACGTTTTCTTAACGTTCCCAGAACTAACAATGTTAGGTTTTTTTTGTATGACCTTAATGTTCCCAGAATGTCAGTTTTTGGTTCCGAAAACATTTTGTTAAGGTTTGTTTTTGGTTAGCCAGGAAAGTTTTCTTAAAGGGGTCATATGATGCGATTTCAATTTTTCCTTTCTCTTTGGAGTGTTACAAGCTCTTGTTCTAACACGCCCCCACATATCTACATCACGATGTGGGAAGAAGAAAGAAGGTGTTACTTTTATTCTCGCTGTAGTATTGTTGCCGCCGCCATGTCGTGAAGACGCTGTGTGTTTCGTTGTGAAAGGGAAATACTTTGTTTGGTCTTCCAAAAGAGGACGATATC